TGATCCTTCAGTCTCTAATAACTGGAGTGCCTTCAAAACTATTCTTAATGTTCAGGTAGAACAACACACAACCTCTTTCGTCAAACGTCCTTTCAAAAAGCCCTGGATCAACAACTCCATTAATTGATTAAAAGAAAAAGAGCTCCATGGCGTGCATTCAGAAGAACAAGTCTTTCTCAAATCGGTTGTCAACTATAATTACAGAAGCCAGAATAACCCACAAGAAATCTATAGCTGATAGTAAAAACACCAAGCGGTTGTACAAATATATTCGAGCTCAATTGCCCGGTCCAGTTGGAATTAATTTACGAAAAAAAGATGACACGGGTACAGTGGTTGCTAGTGATATTGAAGTGGCCGAATTATTTGCCAATTCTTTTTCTAAAATTTTCGTACAAGAACCGCCCAACGACAATATGCCTAATGTCCTTGGAGTGCCTAACGCAGGTGTTATCGACGATGTTCTTTTTTCTAGTGACGCTTTTCGTAAAAAAATTGACAAATTGAAAGTATCAAAAACACCTGGTCCTGGCAGTCTTTAAATTCTAGTTCTCTACCTGCCGACTGGAGAGCAGCAACTGTGCGGCTAATCTTTAAAAAAGGTGACAAATTTGATGTTAGCAACTATCGACCTATAAACCTTACCTCCCTGATTGTCAAAGTCATGGAGACCATCAGCTAATACCCTCCCAACTGCACGGCTTTTTACCGGTAAATTTACCCAATCAAATCTACTCTGCGGCCTATCGGATTGGACGAAAGAGATAGATACAGGCAACCCAATTGATGTGGTGTACCTAGACTTTTCCAAGGCCTTCGACCGTGTTCCTAAGCGTCGGTTGCTGCATAGGCTTCAACATCTTGGCTTAAGAGGAAACCTGTTAAAATGGATTGGTTCTTTGCTTTCTGCGAGCACATTCCGAATTAAAATGGGAGATGCTTATAGCCGTCCTTTTGAGGTTATGAGCGGAATCCCGTAAGGTTCGGCACTGGGACCATTACTTTTTATAGCTTATACTGCCAACCTTAAGAATAGCTTGATGTCACATTTTTCTATGTACGCAGATGATACAAAATTGTACAATTTAAGCTCACAAAATCAAACTCTTAAACAAGATCTTATAAGCATTCAAAAATGGTCCAGCGACTGACTACTCCCACTTAATTCTGATAAATGTAATGTCCTTTACATTGAAAACAAGGATCCCAGAATGCCGTATTAAATAGACGGACAACAATTAGTCTCATCTGACTATTGTGACCTTGGTGTTCTTGTAACTTTGGACTTGTCTTGGTCTCAGCACATCGCACATGTCAGTAAAAAAGCCAATTCGACACTATTTCTCCTGAGACGGGTATTCCAAAAAAGTAGCCCTTTGTAATTGTATAAACCATTTGTAAGACCCATTCTAGAATTTGCAAACAGTGTATGGTCCCCTATTTTACAAAAAGACATCATTTTGGTTGAATCTGTCCAACGTAGGGCTCAAGAATACCGTTTGGTAGAGTGCGGCCTCAATACCATGAAAGGCTCGCAATGATGAAAATTCCAACTTTATCAGGTAGACGAGCAAGGGGTGATCTCATCACGACATTTCAAGCCATGTCCAGTAAATCGTCTCCGATATACAAGCTCTTCATAGTCAGCTCGCATACTCTTACTAGAGGACATTCTTTTAAGCTGGTTGAAGAGAAGTTTAAGACCACGGCAAGGCTGCACTTCCTGAGTAATAGGGTTTTTCAGCAATGGAATTCCTTGCCCGAAGAAATAGTCAGTCCACAATCAACAATGGGTTTCAAAACTAAATATGACACTTACAGCTCGCAGTAGAAATATTGGATATTTCTCATTTACACGACGGTGCAGGCACAGCAGGCATGGACCTCTGCCCGATCGCCTAACATAATAATAATAATAGTAATATTAATACATAGTTTAATTATTTCGCAATAATGCGATGACTAACATTCAAGTTAACGTTTTTGCAATGGGAGTACATTGTAGGAAAAAAGTTAAAATAAAAAGATGTGTGGATTGTAACTACAGGTAAACAGGCATGCTATGCGTATGTTTCAAGTGATCAGTTATTGATAACAAAATTTTATACTCATGTGGCCCCAAGTGGCGTATGTATCAAATCTACAATCGGTACGCCTGAAGACAGTTTTCGTTTGTAGCAAGTTAGTACCAAGGTAGCGAATCTTCACAAAATACAAAATGTTATTGTACTCCCAGTTTAAAGTGGTTTTTATGACAAGATAATAAACATTATCACCTCATTATTACCCCACGACGGACAATATGACTTGAATAACAAAGTACGGCCCTGCAAGAAGCCGACCACTTTCTTAATTATGACTAGGGATTTACTGCATTGTCCCCATCATCAACTTCAACACAATGGACCTGTCATAATCCTATCATATTGTCTTTCCACTTTAAATTGGGAAGACAATACTATAATTTAATTAGTCGCACGTCCACTTAACAAGTGAGTTTGAAATTAATTGGCGTTACAAATTCAGTGGATATGACAAAAATCTTAATTTTCTCTTTACACTTATTCTGCGAAAATGATATGGTCGTTGGGAACTTTTATTTACAATGATTAACAGTCAGAAGACAGCGCTTCTTGGGTGGTTTGAAACACAGATTGTCGAGTGCTAAAATTTGCTCTCAGACGCCCGCTTTAAGGCCAGTCCCTGGGTTTGTGTCCCTAACCTCTCTACAACTTTTTCTATATAGGGGCCAGTAGGGGTACTTTTTTTAAACAGTTTAGTTTAGTTTGTGGTGAATGTTTTCGTTAAGATTTATAGTTTTGTAAGCTGAAAATAACTCCATAAATAAGTAAAAGGAAAATTTCACTAAAATTTTAAGATTTTACAAAACCAATTTCCACTTGACTACAAAGATCATAAACTTAACCTATTACAGATTTATAATGACAATGAAATCTAGAGAATCATTCACAGTGACTAGGTGTGAGTTGGCAGTGGCGGTCGTAACAACAATGCATAACTCTGACAGATTATAATACTTATATAATTAATAACAAAACTAATGTCATTATTATCAATTAAAAAATCTGTAACTGTATAATCAATTATAGAACACAGAAAATATGTCGAGTTGCATTAGTTTCATTCTTTTTAGAAAAAATATTAAAAAAAAAAACTTTAGAGATTTCAGGGAAACCCATTTATTTCTTCGCTGACAAAACAGACCTCATAATGCTAAAAATTGGTTAAAAAAAATACAAAACCTAAAAATATCGTGTGTCCAAAAACTGCGAATAAACCACTATTCAAAAACGAGGCTGAATTGAAGTCTTCAATTTGAATTCCAATACCGTAACTTCTGTTAATTTACTTGTTTTTAAAATTTGTACAAATATTTCAGAGTACAGGAAATACCATTTACTTATTCGAAATAGTTTCCGTTAACTGAGTTGTTCAGGATGTACTTACCTAATGAATTATCTTTGCCTTTATTGGAAACCACTTATGCGGTTTACGAATATGGTAATGATAACTTACGTCCATCATCTCTTCTACGATGGCTTGTTTGAAAGTATAGTCTTCCAAATTCTTTAAGGTTATATGGTCCCTGTACCTAATAATGGGAAATAATAATCCCATTTTTTGTACGGCTGGTCATCGGCACGAACCTACCACCCACCGTCATAAATCAAGTTCCAATATTTTGCCAACCAGCGCAGATCCGGCTTCAGCTATATTGGTTATTTGTACATAAATACAATTTGTTCGTTCATGTTTCGAAAAATATTTCACCTAAAGTATTAGAGAGTCACCGATTAAGTATAGCAATATTACTATCCTATTATACTGTTTTTGTAAATTTATAAGATTTTATATATTATATAATTTATATTTTTAGACTTATTTGTCTAAAATATATGCACGGGCCTTCAAATAAGTAAAAAAAAAGTATATATCAAACATTTTTCCAGGATATTTAGGGTTTTTGTTTATTTACAAATGGAACATATATAACAAAGAATCAGAATCATGAATCAGACGAACTTGAACAAATTTTAGGTTATGCAGAACACAAAATAATTTTATCAGTTTGAAATTAAAAAATCGTCTGAAATTGACGAAGTACCTTGGAATTTTCTATAACAAATAGGTGACAGTGTATAGACATCCCCTTAACTTACCTGGCCTATAACTCATTTGACAGTAGAATATTTCCTGAAGAATTAAAAACATCTTTCGCCGTCCTGGAAAATTATAGACTGATCTTAAACTTCACGAAAATGCATACCATACAGAATAAAGTGGATTTTTGAAAAACTACTCCCGAAAAATCCTTTCGAATTTATAAAAGATAGTCTATTCTTTAATAGAAATTTTAAATAATTTAAGCACCAACTGAAAAACTGTTGCAGTCTATTTTGATCTAACACGATCATTTCACACTGACTTAAAATTGTATTCACCCATGACACTTTTGTTCTTCTAACTCAAAATACCGATACATTAGTGATGGAGCAAAAATAATCGCCTAAATTACATATTTCAAAAAACTTATCGATACGCTAAGCAAAAATTACGTTCTAGATATACATTATAATTCAAAGATTAATAAATTATTATAATTATTATTGTTGTTATTATTATGAATCGTAACCTACACCGAAAAACAGCCGAGGAACAAAACGCGACGTGAACACAAAAAACACATTTGAATTTTCCCACCGATTACATGACGCATAATGATAATAACAATAATACATTCAAATTTCATGCATCGCTATTATACGAAATCACCCATTCTATCGCACTTCCCACGTCCACAACAGTCATTATCCTGTCGTAAATAACAAAAATTTCGTGTTAAACATCTAAAAAGCCGCTTAATGGCGGCGGAAGGGGAAGTTGCGCCTAAAACACGCTAACTGTAATGGCGGCGAGAGGGGAAGTAAAACCGTAAGCCCATAAAAAATAATGGAGGGAGAAGACAATAAAAGAACAGGTCACTAAATTAAAATTTATTAACGGCGAAAACGGAGGAAGTAATATCTTACAAGGTGCAAAGCAAAACAATGTTTTTTTTAGATTCCGTAGACGTCTCCGCCTTTCCTGAAGTCGGCGTTGGCGTAAATGGCATCGGATTTTTTCAACAAGGCGCAAATTATGGATCCGGCGTCTTTGTAACGACTCGTCTTGTGACCCATGGCTTCCAAGCCGTCGATGACTTGCTGCAATCGCGGGATTTAATGTTGTGTTAAATTGAAAACGTGTTTGCTTACCTGTAAAACGCCGTATTCGTACTGGACTTCCATGGGGTAGAGCTGGTGGTGGATTCGAGGCGCGTCTACTGCTTCTTTGATGTTTTGGTGGAACCACAGTGTGCGCATTATGACCTGAAAAGGAAGAGGATGCTTGAAAATAAAAATTAATAACGAAAATTCATGCTCTCTAGAACTCAGCGTGATTTCTTTTGTACGCATTTCCGATGTAATCAAGAATAAGATCACGGAGTGATGGTTGTGTTAATAAAGTGAAACTAACAAGGAAATGACAAACGAGATTTTGACGTCTCAAAAAAAAATGGAAGAATGGTACTGATTAAGTGAAAAGGAAATTGAGGGTTATAAATCAGATGACGCCGAGATATTCAAAGTGCAAACAAATGTGGGATGTAATTATTAGAGAAGAAAATGTTTAGATAGATCTTAAACAGATAGTGTTGTTTGAAATGAAAACAAAAAAAATGTGCGTTCCTTTTCAACATTTTTTGTGAATGGATTCATTAATTATTAATGCAAAATTTTTGCACACAATAATAATTTAAGAGCTAGCGATAAATCTGCAGGCTGTGCTGCCTCCCACTGTTTGGGCCATGTTTTCAAGTGCTTATTATAAAATGAGCGATATGCTATTATAATTAGGCAGGTGGCGGGCGTTTCATGTCCGTACTCTACTGGGTGTTCCAGTTTGCTTATTCCACAGTTATGTTACAAGATAGATTTTTTTCTCTCTGACTCCCAAAGTATGAAAAAAATAGGTCTCCGTTTCCATCTGCCTGTCTATCTGTCTGTCTGTTGATTTTTACTAGGCAGATAATTTCCAAAAATACAATTGCCTAGTATAATATTTTATAATAAATTCAGGTCACAATTATAAAATTAAAATGTCAAAGTCTTTTTGTTTTTTGGTGAAAATAAAACAAGTTTTGATCTGTCGGACAGAGTTTTAATTGTTTGGCAGTTATACAGTGTATAGTGAAAATATGGAACCAGTCGAACTACCTGTTCCATCAAATTGCTAATTTTAACGAAATGGTCGGTCTACTATATGATGAATCATGAAGTCATGACTTATAACCAATACTATACCAATCATTAATTTTTTTGAAGACGCTGTACATGCACTTCCTCCATCCAATGTGGGTTCCTATCTGACCAATATCTACAATTATCTCTATTAACGTGACTGTTCAAACAGAACGTCAAAAGAGAGCACCGGGTTATTAAAGTTGCTATCTTGATTAGCCTTGTTCGTTACTGTTTCGTAAAATTAATTTTTTTTATCGAAATCATGCTTATTACATTCTTGCAGTAATTGAATTTTGTATTATTATATCAGAATTGTCTCATAAAATTGGTATTTTTTTTTAAGTAAGAACAAATAAGGTGCCCTTGTGGCGACAACTTCATGCGCAGCTCTTTGTGGTTGAAGTTAACGAGAAGATAAATTAATCTTACAAAAAAATTAAAGTCTTCAATTTCCATAAACCTTTTGCTGTGGTTAAGTTATGATGTTATAAACATTGTTTTAATTGCATATTTTATGTTTATTTGTTTGTAGAGTGTCTACTTTGTCATAGTTTCGTAAAAAATAATATTTTACTGTGAAAATTGGCTCGCCATTAGGTATTAAGAATAATTGTTACTAAACTTTTATGGTTTTTTAATTGTTGCTAAAACCGTTTATCTTTAGACCCACTTAGGTTATAAACCGATTTAAACGTCGGATTTTGCCAAAAATTTACTCGTTTGACGAATCACCCTCACATTTTGGCGTTTTTGTCAAAACTTTAAATTACAGTTAGCTAAATAAATATGTAAATTGAGACATAAACTGATTAGACCGATGTCGTTACTGATTAAGCTTTAAGCTAATTATACATTTTTTTCATTGGAACATTTTTCAGCTCTATTTAGTAAGCATTAATTAACGATTAAGGATTAAAACACAGGAATAATTAACAAAAATTGCCGCAAATTAACATAATTTTGATATTTTAATATATGTTTATATATCTATATTTGTGTGCATTGACATGTTGGTATACGATATATTTTTTATTAGAATGCAGATACTTACCGTCTAACAAATTTATTAGCAATTTGAAGCTAAAATATTATCAATTTGCCTTATTTAATTACTGCTTATACAAAAAAAAAATGTTTATCTTTTATTCGATGTGTATTAATAGTGAAAGGGACTTAAAATTAAAAATTATGTGAATTAATATATTGTTTTATTTTTAGTTTCTTTTAACTGGTATGTAACTAATAATGTACACTTTTATATTGGGTGAGCAACTTAATTTGTAATCGAGTTATCCTTGGAAATGAATCCGTATGTCTTCTCAAATGTGTCTAAAGTTACGTCATACCCCATAGTAATGTTTAATTAGTATTTTTCTTATAAGCGATAAAGTTGTCAATGTTTTATTATATCATGTCTTGATACTGTACCATTCAGGGTGTTCGCAACATATCGAACAGCCTGTGTATTATCAGTAAAGTATTCAGGAAGTATTTACTCTTTAAATACCTTAGGTCATTCCTTAACATAGCTCATTTTCTGTATTATTCGAACTATATTCAAATGTTATCCTTAAGGAATGATGTTGAAGAGTAGCAGCAATGAGTTTAATCACCAAGTATTATAACTCGCACGGATGTCTTTGGATAAAACTATAAAACGGGAACGCGAATAAACATGAGTAAAGTCAAATATTTAACTGTAAATACAGAAGGTGCTTTCTAGATCTTAATGGAAAATAACACATAAAGTAAGCAAACATACGAGGATAAGTATTTAGGTGCAAGATTATTAAAGGAAGTCATGCGAAAACAAGATAATGCATTAAGGTGAGTAAATTATATCTACGAAGTAGGCTGAACAGTGGTACAAACACATTATTGGACAATAAAAGAGAGAGAGTTTGCAAAGCACTTGAGAGTTAATCCGAATTTAATAGCTTCAAAATTCTGATATTAAATACCAAAATGGAAAGAAATTAAATGCACTTGAACTGGTCTACCTTTAAAACGTCTAACGCGAAGGTGACACTATGAACTAATTTACTTACAATTCAATACCAGACGTTATGGTGCAAGTTATTTAGATTCTTATATTGTAATATTAAATAAGTACTAAACACAAAATTTAGCAGATGTTTGCGACATCTCCATAGCAACGCCACTTTGCGACGTCGCCAAATGAACTTGGCCTCAAAGTGGGGTACTCTTTTATATTGCAGTGAAGACTAATATTTGCGCCTTGTTCTAAAAGATAAGGCATTTTTTTTAAGAAATTAAATTCCTTCCATCTTTCACAAGATGACACTGCTATACATTTAATTGCTATATATATTCTGATATAGTTACAATAAAGTGTACTAATACTGTGCAGGGAGGGGAGGGCTATTTATAAATAGAGACCCATACAGATGGTTCACTGTGTGCTACCCCCATCACGTAGTGTCCTAAAAGATTCTTGTGCCCTTGGTGATTGTGCTTTCGAGGTTTACGATGCGTAAGCATAGCAAGTATGATAATTAATATACATATACAATTTATAAGCGCATCTTGAACGTTATGTGACTCCAGAATTTGGAAGTCCATATTATTATGTTGTGTCCTGATACCAGTAAGTACCAGGCAGGAACACAAAATGTGCTCGGGCCGTTACAATTCTGAAATTTAATCTACAGAGTCTCAGTAGCTCTTCACTATTTTTCTTATCAGGCCTTTGTATGATCTGCCTCGAGGAGCGCAGGTTCAAGGTCCTTTACTCTTCAAGATGGCGTAAACTCGTGCACTCTTTCGAGAATTTTAGGAACTGGTAGAGCTATTAGCATTAGCCCTTTCGTTTCCTTTGTGGCTCATACTGGATACCGAACCGTCTGCATAGTAGGGGATCCAATCCCTTGGGTCATGACTTCGGTATGTTCTTTCCACTCTTCTCATGGAGGTATCAGACTTCGTATGAGTGAATTACTGATTTGTCACTACAGCGGGAATTTTGCTATCATCCTCCATCCTGAAGATGGAGTTAGTTTCAATGTATTAGCTTTCCGGCAATAGTCCCCTGGTCCGTTGTCATTGTCGTGTCGTGTTTTTCCAATTTTTGTGCATTGTTAACAGTCCCCATCAACGACAGGTTAAAAGGACACAGTCCGACCAGTTTTGACAGCCGTTGATGCGGTTCTTATTACATCTGTTATTCTCAGGAAGTGTTCGGGCCAAAAGAGTTTTAGTACCCACTTTCGTCATCGAGCCCCATCGTCCGATTTTGTCCGTTTTGTAAAACCGGCAGGAGGTCGGAAACTGTTGACAGGTGCCACAATTTGAATTATAAAGTTGGTAACAGTTGTAACGGATGCCGTATCATCGGCACCAACCAAAAATATCTCCCCCTCTTGTACGATCCGTGGTAGAAACAAGACTTCAGTACCTCTGATTATTATTATCAGGTTTTGGACCCACAAAAGTACAGTTTCTGTCAACGGATACCGCGGCTGAGAAGAAACAGAAGGAAGCGTGCTTAATGAAGCTAAACAAAAACGACAAGAGGTGCAAGTCCCAAATTATTCAAAGAATTGCTGACAGCCATTTGGAATACGTAACAGATGCTATAACAGCCTACGAGTTGTGGTCAACGCTACGAAAAACATTTGGCCTCGCAGGTGCTTTTACGGAAGTAGCTTCTGACAATGAAGTTAGGTATGGGAGCAGATTCAATGAGTACACACTTCCTCAAGTTTGATAAAATAATCTCGAAGAAAGTGATATTGTGTGCCATCTGCTGTTAACAATGCCGTCTAAATACGTCACTATGGTCACTGCAATAGAGACACACAATAGAGTCGAAGAGATCTGGGGCACATAGGGTGGCTCAGAAAGAAATCACAGGAAATCACAGGAAATTACAGGAAATCAAAGGAAATCAAAAGGAAATCAAGAGGAAATCAACGAGAAATCAAGAGGAAATCGATGAGAAATTAACGAGAAACCAACAAGAAAACAAAGGAAATCCAAAATCATCATAGCAAATCCAGTTAAACTAGATATTTTCTAGAACTAATAAACGTAACATGTACGACATAAGTCATAGCATTCATCAT